GCTACCCACCTTGAGCAAATATTTAAGAGATAAGCAGCACTGTTTGCGCTCGGAAGCAAGGATGGACTCTGCTCGTACACCTGGGACGCTTTGCTAACGTGTCCCGCAGGGCAGTTTGAGGTCATGCCCGGTGTCCCGGCTCTAAACAGCCCTCTTCCTCCTCTCCACGGCATTTCCCACAGCTGCCGCCTCCTCCAGCTCCACGGCAAGGCCCGACAGCCCAGAACAACTGCTGGGCGCCGTGTAAAACGCAGGGTGAGCTGCAGAGCTCGCGGGGGCTTTGCCGCATGGCTGTGCTGAGCGGGGCCGGAGGGTGCCCGGAGGGGCGGCAGGTATGGCCGCGGGCACCGAGTGGATGGAGCACAGACCCGCACGTTTGCGGGACTCGCGGACAGGCGTTTCTCTCCTCTTCCCCTCTCCTCCCACAAAATGAGGAAAGAGACACATTTTAATGACAGCTTGCTGAAATGTGCGCTCCCTGCTGATTTGACATTGGGCAGAAAAAGTGTCTACAGAATCAATTTTTAATAACTGTAAACAACTAAATTATGAATGACAAAAATATCACTGAACAGTTAAATATTAATCATGTAATTACTTAAATTAATACTTTTAGTGCGATGTTGTGATAGAGAGTTTCCCTTGCGCGGTGTCGCTGCGCAGGCTGGGCGGGCGCGCGGGGGGACGGGACCACAGCAGCCCCCCGGCAGCGGGGCTCGGGAGTGGGGCGCTCTGCCGGTGCTTGCCACAGCCCCAGCTGCTGGCTGTCCCACGGGTCCCACCGTACTGCGTGCTCCTCTTAAAGCCTCTGGAACTGGATTTATTAAGAAAGAACTTCAGGTTCCTGTTCAAAAAGAGAGCTGTCAAGAAAACGGCTAAACTGCTTCAAAGGAAGCAAACTCCCACCCCAAAAACTCTCCTGTCCCCACGTGCGGTTAAACCCGCAGTGGTGGGGTGTGATGTGCAGAGCCGTGGCTGGGCTCTGCGGTGGTCTCGGGGAGATGGAGGGTGCTGCAGCAGGAGCTGGGGTGTGAAAAGCCCTGGCTGTTTCTAAGAAGGAGGTGGGTGAGTTTGTGAAAGAGGTGGTGGTGTGCCGCGAGGTTGGGGGCTGCAGTCACTGCCTGGCGGGCTCTCCCCGTGCCGCCACCTCGACAGGCGCTGCAGGGACCTTGCGTGGTGGGAATTTGGTTGCAAGTGTCACGGGGGGTGTGGGTGTCAGCAGCCGTCTGTAGGTACTTGCACGCAGCACGCAGCTTCCTCCCCTGCCCAAGAAACTAAGAAAAGAATTTACTGGCGCTCTTGTCCTTGTGGGTTGGCTGGCTGCATTGTTTGTTTTTAATCTAATAAAAGGAGATCTTAATATCATAGTAAAATCGGTACAAAGCTAGAAACTCGCCCCTTGGCGTTTTGGCGAAACATTATTGAAAATGTAAAAGCCTTTAGCAGAAACAACAGAAGCACAAAGAAATTGTAGAAATAGGATCAACAGGTTGTGTTCTGGGTGTTGGGAGGAGCCGGGAGAGAGCATCCAGCCAGGGCTGGAGGTGCCGGTGAGACCCGCTAAGCTGGAGGCCTGAGGGCAGCCCCGTTGTGGCTCTGCTCCATAGGGACGTGACGCAGCGGTGGCCGGGAGCAGGAGCCCTGCGAGGGTCGGGGTGGGCAGCACCGCGGAGCAGTGGCCGGGCGGTAAGGGAGAGCGCGTTGCTGGGAGGGCAGGAGTGACGGAGAAGGAGAAATGGCCGTCTGGGAAGATGGTGTGAGCATGGCGGGACCTATTTTTAAATTAGAAAGTGAAGCATCTCTTGCATAAGGTGGGAATGATGAAGAAGCGTTCATTGCTGAGACTCACGCATCGCTGTAGGATCGAAGTGCGGCTCTTTCTGCCTCATCACTGTTTTCTGGTGCCTTCCACCTCATCACAGACATCACTGGAAGCACCGTTCCCGCCTGCCCTAAGCAAGTGTGTCCTGAAAACGCCATTACCCAACTTGTCCACCAGTACCATACCAGGCACCATGACCACTTTTAAAACCCACCATTTTTGGGGTGACTGCTGCCCAACCTGAGAGCTGCAGTGACTCCCCATGACTTTAACTCGCATCCCATGGCAGAGCACTGGAGGGAGCAGCTTCCTGAGGCCACCAACCGGACTGGGACCCAGTTTCTGATTGAACATCAACAAGTTTGCACAGTGCAAAACCATTTCCATCCCCTGGTACTCGCTGACTTGCCGGCTCTCTGACAGCCTGTGTGCTTTTTGCTTCCACGCTTCTGCATGCGGCATTTCCTTCTGGCCACCTGAGACCCACCCACTGAGCACATCGGGTCCCGGTGGGGCTTGTGGAGCTGCCCCTGGTCACCGTGCTCTTTTCCATGGCTTCACACATGGCGAGTAACCCCCTCCGGCGAATTTTCCTTTGGAAGCTGCCATTTGAGTTCCCTTTGTGCTCTCATGGCGTTGCATTTTCTGGTGGACTTTCTACATGTGTGGTTCATAGCGGTGAGAAAGGAGAAGCAGGAGCGCTTTCCGCACGCAGCGTTACAACACGCTGCAGTGAAGTTGGTTCTTGAAACATAGCAGCCCCCTAAAACGTCAAATAAATCCTTAAACTATTCATCACTCTGTTTTTGGGGTGGCAGTTAAGTCTTTCAACACTCTGCAAGTTTCTTTCCCCAGCAGTAATTTCGCTGGTGAAGAAATACAGCTCAGGGCACTCCACAAAGGCCTCAAAATTCATGTTTTGTTTTCATTACCAAAAAAATGCTCCACTACATTAAAGAGCGGCCCATTAAAATTTTGTACCCTGTCTTCCCTGCGCCCTGTCGTTGTTGGCAAACCTTCCCCATGCGCACGGCGGAGCCCAAGAGCAGCCGTCGCGCTGCTTCTGCAGACTTCACACAGAAAGGGCAGCAACGGGGAGGAGGTTTACGCCGCAGCCCAGCGTGGTTTGGTGTAAGATCGCAAAACTTCCAATAGCCACGCACGTTCACTCAAGCGATGTACCGTACTGGACCTTCAGCTGCTCTGTCGGTGCTTCCGCTGCTTTCGGTCTAACCCAGCACAGCACACCGGCTCATGTGCATGTCTAAGGAAATAAATTAACTGTCTGGTTCCTGGAATAAAATTTAACACGGTACAAAGCAATATATTTAACCGTCTCAGGCAGATAGCCCTAAAATAACAACGAAAAAGAAAATAATGAATCACTGGAGGCTTGCTGAACTTTGGGATTATAGAAATTAAATGTTGCAGCATGAACTGGATGGTGTTTTCTGATACCATTGAAAAGCTTGAGGTTGAAGAAAAACAGTAAACGTATTATAATTAGGGTTTAGGGGAGCGTTTGGTTATTCTTATAAGTCACTACGACTGGCTGAATGCAGGCACGGGCACGAGAGCGGGCAGGAAAACCTGGAGCTTGCTTACGAGGGCAGAAGGGTTTTCAGCTGAATTCAGTGGGGGCTCGCTAAGTCCAGTTTTATTTAATATCTCTGCAGTTAATTTAGAAATAAACGGCACGTTAATTAAATTTGCAACTAAATTAGCAAGTTAGACGATCAGGCCGAGGCGTAGCTGTGGAGAGCGCATCTCCCCACGTTGCCTGAACCCGCAACCCCGAGCAAGCGGTGCGGGGCGCAGCCGGCAACACCGGCACCGGTGGGGACCGATCCTGCCCCTTCCATCGCCCTCCCCGGCCGGGCTGTGGTCTCATGCGTCCGCAGCCCTCGCTGCCGGGCCGGAAAGCATGGGGTGGGACGGTGATGCTGGAAGGAGGGACACAGCGAGGCTGCAGCGGTGGCGTTCGCCAGCAGTGCTGGCCGTGGCCTCTGGCAGGGTTTGGTGAGCTCGTTGTCCGTGGCAGGGGAAAGCCCTGCCCTGGTCACAGCGAGGAACACCGGGGGGACGCAGAGCCGAGTCAGAGGGATGGCTCGACCGTGAAATCCAGCGGGCTGCGGTGTAGTCTCTCTGGGAAATGGAGGAGTCCTCACTGGCAGGGTTATTTAAGACTCGACTTTGAAACACGAGACACTCTGCAGTTGGGAACAATGCTGCACTGTCAGAGAGATGGACTCAATTACTTAATAGGTCCTTGCTGTCTGTCTCCTGCGATTTTCCTTTCAAGAACATATATTCAGCTGGGTTATTTCTCATGGGAAGACAAAGCGTTGTGAGAGAAGCCAGGCGTTGGGAGGGGAGAGGCGGGAGGAACAGCAGCCGGGCAGATGCCTGCATTGCTCTCTGCAGAGCGTGCTCCTCAGGACGTGGAGAAAGCTGCAGTGATGTGGCTGATGTGGTCTTTTGGCCCAGTAACCAGCTGATCCCCCGCTCTTGTAGGTCTCCCTTCCTTTTCCTTGCTCATGAAAGATTTGCCACGTTGCTTTCTTCTGCCAGACCCTGATCCCCAGGACTGCTGGTGCTGGGACGGTGGTCCCTCAGGCAGCGCTGCAGATGCTGCACGGGCCATTGGTTGCTGTTTTTTCCAAAACCAGCGTTGGTTTCCCACTTACCCAGCACTGACAGGTCCATGCAGCTCATCTCGACGTACGGGCAGCCGCTCCTCTAGCATGGAAAGGCTTTGATGGTGTTTGAGCAACACAACAGCCAAGCTGGAGGAAAAGCTCATGGCCGGGAACCCACCTCCATGTAACTGTTGGGTTCTCTGATAGCAGGACGGGGCGGACAGGGACGTGTAATAGAGATGCGTCTTCTCACCAAAATTGCTCTGCCAGCTGTGGGGCGAGCATTTCACAGGCCCTTTCCTTGTCGGGGTCATGGGTGCAATTCTGTCAGTGCTGGCGTGTGCGCACGCGTGTCGTGGGTGCACACACATGTCAAAGGCATCTGCCCTTGTGCACTTGTTTGCCACCAAATTAAGATAGTGCGTTACCTTATGCATGTTAAATTGATGCACCTAAATCCGGCTGAATGTTCTTAAGCCCTGAGGGTGTAATGAGATTTTGTCTCTTTTGCCCATTTCTTTTTCTTTTCTTTTTTTCAGAATAAGTCGTCTGTTTAATGGCACGGAGCCTATTGTCTTGGACAGTTTAAAACAACATTATTTCATTGATCGAGATGGTGAAATTTTCAGGTATATATTAAGCTTCCTAAGGACATCTAAGCTACTGCTCCCAGATGACTTTAAGGTAAGGAAAGCTATAGTCTGCAATCCATTTTTTTCCTCCCATTCTGTCATTTGTTTTGGTGCAGGTTGGTTTGTGTGCTTGGCCTAAACACGCTTAACTAGATGTTGCTGCTTATTGTTAGGGGTTTTAGTACTTGTGTATTACACCAGGGATGCTATTATTTAATAAATGGACCAATGGTTGTCATGGATACCATAAAAAGTTAAACGATGACGCTTACGGCTAAATCAGTTTTTCTAAACTAATTGTATTTTCTCACATTTTTAGCTTATTTATCAGGGTATAACAACAATTAAGAAGCAACATCAGCATTTAGCACTTTCCAGGGTTTAATGCTCAGAATCCAAAAGAAATGTTTCAAATTTGATGCGTGGAGGACTTAAATTGTATTAATCTTTTCTGGTTGGTGTAAAACAGAAACACCCTTAAACAAGCCCATGAGGATTTGTTTTAGATACCACCGGTGCAGATCCTGTGATTTCAGGAAGTAATCTTTTACGCAGTTTAGGAATGTCAGAGTATTCTTGGGAGATGGAACTCGCTGAGGGCTTTTTAAGGAGCAATACATGTTTTCTGTGAAATAATGGCACTGGTTGTTGCTTTGCAAATCCTGATTGTTTAAACGCTCTCCTCCTAGTCTTGTTTATTTGGCTTTGCGCTTACGAAACTTGCAACATTGTCATCCCTATGTATGAAAATTAGAAGACAAAAGTGTCCAAACTGTAGATGACAAGATTCAACAAAAGCACTAACTCCAAGATGAAATGATGAATAAATTGGGATGGCAATGGGGATCTGCTCAGAGTTAGAGGACGCGGCGCGTTGGAGCATGGGGAGGCAAGTTCCCGCGCTGCGCAGTATGGTTTCGCTGTGCGTGTTGGATTAGGTAGGCGAGATGATTTGGCCAGTCAGTAGTGAGTCAGTCCAGATCTGTGGTTGCTGTGGCGGCTTTAGCTTTGGAGTGCAGCTGAACCTCATGCTGCAAACCGCTCCGCAGTGATTCTTGCCCAAGTTTCGGCTATCATCGTATCTGACCTCGGCACGGGAGCGTTTGCAGTTCATGCTGAGCAGAGGCGCAGTGCAGTGGCAGCGCATGTCAGTCCCAAGGCAGGGAGAAGGTTTGGCATTCACGGGCGGTTTCGGAGCTGCAGCCCAGCAGGGCTGACCTGAGCATTGGCCTTTCTGGGGAGCGGCGGGCAGGTCGAGGACGCTGGCCTGCGGGTCGGGGTGCTGTGAAGCAGGGCGAGACCAGAGCACTGAGAGGTGGATGTAAGAAAAGCTTTTTTTACAGAGAAATTAGTGAAAACGCACAGGTAGGAGTGAATCCCATAGTCACAGACTGGCAGGGGTTGGAGGGGACCTTCGGAGATCATCTGTCAACCCCCCTGCCAGAGCAGGGCCACCCAGAGCAGGTTGGGTTCACCTAAACCAAGTGGGTTTTGAGTGTCTCCAGAGGAGACTCCACCGCCTCTCTGGGCAGCCTGAGCCAGTGCTCTGGCACCCGCACGGGAAAGAAGTTTTTCCTTATGAAGCTGAAGACCAGAGCAGTTCTGTGGACTGTAAGGGGGTGGCTGGAGCAGCAGTACAGGTGAAATGCCAGAGCGATGCTTTAGTGGCAGCATTTTGGACAGTCTGGTGGGGCAGGAAGGCGTGAGAAGCGCGGGTAGAAGAGATGTAGTTGGAGCTGATCATGGCCTCGACCGGCATCCAGATTTCAGAGGTGCTGTGAAACAAAACCAGCAGGATTTGGTAAGAGCCTGGAGGTGAGAGTGCCGGTGGATGCCAAGGACTTGTCTGCGCAGCGAGCCACTGGCAGGGGGGGGAGAGACTCGGGAGAGCCGGCGCGGTGCCCGGGCTCGGTCCGTTGTTCCAGACCATCTCTTTGCATAGGGTTAACTGTATTTTATTTAGTTCCTCCCTGGGAGAGCTTTAGAGCAAACCCCAGGCTAATGAGGGCTCAAGAACAAAGCAAAGTATTGCTAGGTAGGGAGTAACTAAATAAAAATGCATAGAAGAATGCGCTGCAAAGCTATATTAAAACTGCATTGTAAATGGATTTGACTTCACAGAAATCGTGTAATTTTACCAGCATGATTAAAGTGACAGAAGACAATAATCAAAGGCAGCAAATGGAATCACTCGGTGTTTCTAAATGCAAAACTCTATTTAAGGTATAAAACCTGACAGGTTTTCCAGTGAGACTTGCATTAAATGTTCTTTATGTCAAACAAAGCATTATCAAGTGTTTTGAATATTTATTAGGTTTTACCCCTTAATTTAATCAAGCAGTTTATTAGCCTCAAGGTTTAGCCAAGTTGCTTTTCAACTTGAATTGCTGCTCAGATGGTTATTTTGGAAAGTTTGGAATGTTACTACCGCACCAGCGTTATTGTGTTTGCTGTTTAAGTGTTGTTTTCAGACTAAGTTAACACTGAAATGCAGAGAAAGTGGGGTATGTGTTCCTAGGCTAGTGATTCTTTATTATCAAGTCTGACTGGTGTGTTTACAGTGAATTTTAATTACACTTCCAACTACTAATAAGCCAGAACTTGAAAGTGTTTAGTATCTGACAGGTCTCCCTGCTGAAAGCAACACTCTAATAGTTCATATAATTTTCCTGGGTTTGGGGGATTTTAAGCCACATGAAGTACGCTGAGAAATTACCGTGAGTTGTTTGGCTCGGTTCTCCTTCGCAGGCAGCCTGTGCTGAGCGAGGTGATGGCGAGCAGCTCGGCGCTGCTCACGCTCCCTCTCCCTGCACCGGGGTAGTCCGTCTGGTTGGGGGTTAGGGTTAGGGTTAGGGTTAGGGGGTTGGGGGACGGCTGGCACGGGCGCTGCCCCTCCTCTGCAGCCCAAATATTCTCGGCCGTGATCCCCCCCTGCCATCAGAGCTGCTTCCCCAGGACAGCTGTGATCAGCATCTGTCCCCTTCACTGCCGGTACTGAACTTCACGCAAGACCAGGACCTGTTGTACCGACTTATTTGAGACTCACCCACCGCTTAAAGATCTTCAAACAAAACCAGACATAGGCAATGTGTATAGTATTAGTCCACCTTAGGGAGGGGAGGAGCACAAGTGCACAGGACATCTGAGTTTTGTATGGATTATAGAGGTCACCTGTAGCACTGGAACCGCAAGGTGGGAGTGCTAATTTATTAATAGCATTTTAAAATTAGAGCATCCAATTTTAAGTGCTTTCGAAAGGACTTTAGCAAACAGCTCAGTTGTCTTAGAGGTGAGCAACTTTCTCTCGTAGCCACGTGTCAGATCTGCACAGCACTAAAAGATAAAAGAAACGTGGAGTCAGGATGACAGTTTGCTGTTTCACGTAAACAGTAACGAGTGAAAAATGGGCAGACAGAGCCATTTCAGCCTGTTCGGGAGTCAATGGTAGGTACAACAACAACAACGGACCTCTGTAGTACTGAGACAACAGCATCAGGTTCACAGGAGACACGGTTTCAGGGTTTTTGCTGGCTGTCTCTGTCTGTAGTCAGCAGATCTGGCACTGGGGTCAAAACAGCAGCACAGCTGGCCTTGCAGTCACACTCGCCGTCTCCTCCCCAGGAAGATGTCACCCTCATCAGAGGTGACTGCAGAACTTGGCCAACATGAAATCCACCAGAAAAAAACCTTTTTGTGAAAGGCAAAAAGCTGCATCTTCGAAAGATCTGTTTACCTTTCCCATGAGATCTAAATGTTGTCCAGAAGTTGTAGATGGAGAAGGGCTGTGTGTGTCCCGGCTGCCTATCTGCTCCCTGTCCCAGGTGACCTGACACGACTTCCCCACCGCTTCCTACAGCAGCCACAAGAAGTTGAGGGCTTAGGGTGGCTCATGGTAGTTCATGAAGGCTTTTTGTGCTGCTTTACAGCCAAATCAGAGGCGGGAGTGTCCATGCCCCCTTTCAGTCTCCCTTCCAGAGAGGGTGCAGTCTCTGTACGCGTTTCTCAGCGCACGCCGGGGTCGGCGGCTGTGCCCGGCTCCTCGGGGGCTGTTCCAACGCAGCAGTGTGCACTTTGCCACTGCACTCGGGAGTTAACGCCCCGGTGCTGCTCCTGTGCCCCGTCCAGTGCCACGTGCCTCTTCTGGAGAGGTCTGGGAAGAGTCGTATCTGCATTTGCCTTTGGTAACCGACCAAAATGAGCAGCACAGAAATGTTTTCTTGCAGCTCCCAGTGGCGCCTCCCTGGCGAGGGCCCTCGTGAGTCAAATTCTTCTACTTGACATTTCACGTTAAACTTTTGCAAGTCATCAGTGTAGGATTTTTATACCTACAGTGCAAGGGTGGAAATACCTATGTCAGTATTACGTGAGCATCCTGTGTAGACAACGCAGAGCTGGGCATCGCTTCCCGCTGGGTCGCAGCCACACAGTACTCTGAACGGTGTATAAAACCTGAACGCAAAGGTTGTGTACTTGGCGGCGTGTCGCGTCCATCACCCTGCCCAAGCACAGGCTTTAGCGAGCTGGACCCCCACGCCACGAGCGTTCCTGGTTTTGCAAAATTCTCTTCCCTCCCTGAATACATTGCCAAATTCTGTAGCGGTGCCCAAGTCCCTCGGTGCAGAAACGCCGCGTTTCTCGCGCAGGAGCCGGGGCAGGGCGGGTGGTGGGGCAGGCTGGGCTGGGGCAGCCGGCAGCGTGCGCAGTCACGGAACGTGTCCCTTCCCAGCACTGTCACTGGCAGACAGCCGTGAATTTCCTCTTGCTGTTCCTAGCAGAAGACACTTTTTTATCCCCTCTGCTTGTTACAGCATAAAAAATTCCCGTTATTGCCGGTGCCTGATAACAGGCGGATGCCCAGACTCCCCAACGCCGCACGTGTGTGTTGCCTCTTTGCACCAGAACGCCTCAGATTCCCCACTGATTCCCCACAAACCCCTTCCTCGGGGTGCAAAACCCTTTCCAGCATATTTGTGCTCAACCCAAATGTGGAGTGGACAAGGAGAAGAGAGTCTTATTTTAAAAACTAACCCAAGCACCTTGGCATGACTCAGGCAGTTTATGACTGGGTGCATCCCCCTGCGAACGTGATGCTCCAGTACAGCTCTGGTTTCCACAGGGACTGAAGCATGGCCCAGTCATTCTGGGAACAGCAGTGGAAGAGCTGTTCCCTCTGAAAACTGGTTGTCTTATCACAAAATGATATCAGAAGATATAATATATCTTGTTTATTTAGGACAACTGATGGTTAGCAGGAGTCACTGAAGAGTTGCATCGACACAGTAGGCTAATAGCTGGCGGGGGGAGAGGTAGAGGTGGTGGGACCCCAGTTTTGTTTGCTTTACTGTTTTGGCCCGGGCATGCTGGACCATTGAACTCCTGTGATACAGGATACTGTCAGCCTCGTCCACAGCCCAGTGAAATTAGTCAAAGAGACTCTCGTGAACGGGATGGGCTTTGTATCCAGCCTCAGGAGCACTGTACCTCTCTGCTTCTGGAATGGACTGGTTTTTATATGGCTGTACCATCTCTTCTGGGTTTTACTGTTGAGTTTTCTTGGCACATATTCAGTTGGTTGACCTTACAAATAATATGTTATTTTATAGCAACGAGGAACACAGATATTCTAAAACTGTTTTTTCAGGACCTATTGAAAACAGCGGGAGACTTTCCATCGCCTTGAGTAAGCGCTGGATGCTCCTCTTCACTCTGCAGCATTACACTACATTTTGCCTTAGCACTGCATGGTTTCCTTGGCTCCCAAGAGATATGTGGGACCAGTAGGTGCCCAGTGAACGTTTGATATCCCCCTGCACACACCTCTGTAAGACCCGCAGTTAAGTGGTACGCTGTGTTGCTTCAGCGTACCGCACGAGGAAAATTTCAGAAAGTCCAGGGCAGGGGTTGTTTTTTAATTTAGGCCACTGATCCCCATAGGTTTAAACCAATCCCTCGTGCTCGGTAACCAGGGAGCTTTGCTGGTGCACAGGGAAAAGCAGTAGTGGTTCAGGAGAGTGCTGATTTTGGGGAGGGGGAAAAATACCTTCCATCAGGGGACGCAGCTGCTTCTTTAATCTTCCTGTTGGTTTTCATCTTCCCTCTCCTTCCAGTGAGTGTGTTTGTTGCCCTCATTTCTTCCCACTTGCTCTTATCACTCTTTTCTCTCTTTCTACGGTCCTTTTCTCCTCCCTTAGTGGTGCGCATATTGTCCAGGCCTTAACAGACATCAAAGAGATGTAAGGGATCGGATGTCCCTTTTGTGATGTGATAACCTTGCGGTGTCACTGTGAATATTCATGTGTCTGCAGGCTGCCGGCAGCCCTGGGGTGAAGGAGCACCTCCTCACTACCGGCGGTGGGTCTGTGGTGCCAAATTTGAGCACAGCTAACTGCTTTGGTTCAGTAATATCCTGCAGCAGCAGATTTTACAGGTTAATTCCAGCCGCCATGAAGAGTTGCACGTTTTTGTGTGGCATGTTCGTTGGCCTTTGATTCCCCCTTTTCCCTCAGTCCCGGAGCAGCAGTGCTGCTGTTATTTTTCATGTAATTTTGGTGCCCATTTCTTGATTAGTTCTTGTCATGCCCTTCTTTCCAGCCTAAATGATTCCAGTTGCTTCATTCTCATGATTTTTCATTCCGTTTCATTGCAGTGGTGGAGAACTGGCCTTTATGTCCAGGTGTTGACCTACAGCCCACTCCACAAAAGTCACGTAGGGTACCTGTGGTGCAGCGTTTCTGTTTGCAAACGGGCGTAAGAGCCAAGAAAACAAAGGGCAGGTCTTTCTTTGGAACGAGGAGCTGGTGCTGTGCTCTCGTTGCTCCTCTTCCCTTCGGGGGGCTGAAGGAGGTGGTGGGGCTGGCGGAAGCAAACCGTCCCTGGTGCTTCCCCTCTCCTGGCGCGGTCTGAGGGGCTGCCGGCACCCTTTGCCTCAGCATACTCCCGTGTATTGAAGCTGAGGTGGGAAGATCTGTTGGAAATCTGATGAAAAGTTATTAATGAGGATGTGCAGAAGACATCTCAGTCAATGCACTGGGAACGGGATCAAATTGGGAATTTCAGTTGCCCAAAGCTCAAGTGAGGTGGTGGACAAATTGTTGGCAAGAACTGTTTCTTTTAAGTTATTGGAGCGTACATCTGAGCTCCTGCCCAGTGGGAGGGTCACTATCTCCGTATAATTTACTGGGCTCCAAAGTACACTTTAAATACATGAATAATCATGAAACGCAGGGAGCAGCTGGGCTGCTGCAGCTGAATTTCAGAGTCAGCAGACAGGTGAGAAGTGAAGCTGAACTGACATCTCTGTCTCGTAACATGTGTGCGAGAGGTGCCAGCGAAGCCCGAGATCTGCTGTTGTAAGATCAGAAGCGAATAGCTGAGGCCAAGAGTGAAGATTAGGGCTCAGGACATCTTCTCTTACATCAGAGGGCTTTGCTTATTGCAACCAGTTATTTTGATTTCTTAATCCAAAAGTAAAGCCTTCTGGCATTGAGCTTGTGGGATAATAAATGAAAGAATAACTCAGTGCAGTGGGAACTCCACGGTCAGCTCAAATAGATTCAGCACTAACACGGTGTGGTTTTCCGTGTAGGTGTAAGACGAAGACAAAGTATGTGGATACCTGTTGCCCTTGCGCTCTTGCTGACAATACATACGCCTAAGTAGGTCAAACAGGAACAATACTCATTTTTAAAAGAGAACTATAAGCATTTCTAGTTTCTCTCTCTCCCTCTCTGTTTTTTTTTTCCCAGGACTTTAATCTTTTATATGAAGAAGCAAAGTATTACCAGCTGCAGCCAATGATTAAGGAACTTGAGCGATGGAAACAAGAGAAAGAACAAAGGAAACATTTCCAGCCTTGTGACTGCTTGGTCGTAAGAGTGACTCCAGATCTGGGGGAGAGAATTGCGTTGAGCGGGGAGAAAGCTTTAATAGAAGAGATCTTCCCGGAGACCGGGGACGTCATGTGCAACTCCGTAAACGCAGGCTGGAACCAGGACCCTACCCACGTTATTAGGTTTCCTTTGAACGGATACTGCCGGTTGAATTCAGTGCAGGTAATGGCCTTTCGGTGCTGGCTCATCTACTTGCTGGGGTGTTTTTTTATTATTTCTTGTTCAATTATATGCAAATTATTTGCTTCTGCCCAATTACTTTCAGTGCTTATACTGCAAGGAGACATTTTCTGCCTGGTGAGATCACAGTCTTTCAGGTTTTCCTAAGTCTAAGCAGAAAAATAGATTTAGATTTTGTGTATGTTAGTGCCATGCTGGTCTCATAATGGTGTTATACTGATAAATGCTAATTTTTTCATCAATGTATAGCCTGCAGCAGGTTTTTTTTCCTCCAAAGTGCCCCCAGGAAGAAAGAGAGAGTTCCAAAAACTACAAAAAAAAATCTCCACACCATTTTATAGAAAATGCAACAATGTGTAAATGCATAATTTATGTCTCACTCATAATTAAATGATGGTGCCTGCGGGATGGACTTAAAAAAATTGATCTCTGCACTTTTTTTTTTTTTCAAAAGGATGTTCTATAAAAATTGCCCAGAGTATTTTAAACAAAATGTATTTCATTTTATACTCAGAGTTTTGACATTAGGTTTAAAATTAAACATATGAAACAAAAGAAGATAACTGGACAGATAGGTGGATGGCAGCGGAAATAAATATGTGGCTTGTGTTTAGGCAGCAGCCTTATGGGCAAGAAATGCCATTTCACAAGGGAGCACCGCCACCGCGGCCAAAGCTTTGGTGTTGTAGCTGTCCTTGGGCTGCGGAGAAGGAACGCTGTTGATGATGCTGTTAACTTGTGCCTTAATTAACACGGGCTAAACAGAGCTCCTGGTTTTTGCTTGTACGCCTTTAAAATACGCTGCAAAGAACAGTTGTGTTATGGGGAGTGGAATCAGCCTCTAGGGGAGTATTTCCAAAGTTACCGTCCCCTGCGGACGGGCGGTGGGTGCAGCCGTGAACTGGGCTGTGGGCAGTGCCTTAGTGGTCTCCATGAACTCCGCTGTGGGCAAAGGGGAGCAGAAGAGCTGTCCCGGGGGAGCGGCTGGGGAGGGCTGGCTTCCCTCTGGCCTCACTACACAGCAGGCTGAGGCACCCTCCGTCGCCCAGGCTGCCTGCTGAGAACATTTTCGGGAGACCTGGAGTTCCCAGGACATGTAAAGGTGGATGGGGTTGTTTTAACCACCTGCCCTCCCTGGGGCAGCCCTCCCTGGTGCCCCCCGCACGAACAGACGCTTTTGTCTGGAACCACTCCAAACCCAGCGGTTTTTGGTCCAGGACTCCCAAGTGTTTTATTTGGTTGAACTTTAAGAGTCCGATGCCTGTGATTGATTTTGCACGGTCCTTAGCAATTCCACATTTGGCAGGGTTTGGAGCGGGCTGCCCCGCAGACAGAAGGCTGGAGGAGGGTTTGCTGGCAGCTGGATCGGTGTGGGACTGGGGGCTGTGCCGGGGGAGAGGGGAGCAGCTGCAGTTTAGCTAAGGTGAGCGGACGGGGGGGTGTTGGTCTCTCAGCCACGCTGCCCATGCCATACGCTTAGATGCATGCGAGAAATTAGAATAGCCGAAAGAACAAGGGTTTGCTGCGAGCCGCTCACGGGCACAGCACGGCAAGCAGTCGAAGCGCGGGGCGCCCACTCAGCTTGGCGCTCGGCTCGGTTTTACCCAAAGTGGCGTCCTGGTAGGAAACGCGTGCTTGTAGTAAAAGCAGAATGCTAATTAATGTTATTATTTGAATGTGTTTTGAATTCAGTCAAAATTCAGACAGAATCAAAGAGTCTCTTCACAAGTTCATGTTGTGAAAAAAAAAAAATCTGTCAAAGAGTCTACAATCTAAATAATATTATTAAATTACATCATTTTACTAAATTACGTCATTTTACTATATAATTAATAGAAAGTGTTTTCAAACACTTGCTGGAAAATGATGCATTTCTAAGACCAAAGGCTGATGAAATCAGCGGGTAATTATCGTTGGCTCTGATGGACTCTGGTCAGCGCGTGGGCGCTGCCCGTCCCCTTCCCAGCGTTTTTTGGCAAAACAATATTAAGTCAGAAGTTGGAAGTACAGTGGAGTAAGTGCGGAGACGTAAGGGAGAAGGGTTCGAAGGGGTAGTGGCTGGAAGAGCAGAGTTCTTTCCAAAGGGTCTCAACGAGTGCGGCGGTAAGCGCGCCTGCTCTTTGCCCAGATGCCCCGCTCCCGCGGCCCTGCGCCCTGCCCAGTGTGTTAGGTGGCACAGGGGCAATGTTTATAAATTCTTTGCATCTTTGGAAAATATTTTCATTGAATGTTCTGTGTCAAGAACTGTGCGTGTAAACCAAAGAATGTCAAGACTGAGTAGGCAGTGGCAGCCAAAACAATACAGTAGCTCTTAATTTAATGCCCATTTGTAATTACGTATACGTATAGAGGTTTTTTAAGGCTGACACTGTTTTTTCAGCTCCTCACAACAGGTTCTGGTGAGGTACGTGAACCTACCTTAGAAAATTCTGTGGTGCTTGTAATGTTGAACATCAACTCTTCATAGTTAAGGCTGTATTTGTTAATATTCTGCAAGATTTAAACAAAATGCAATAAGTGAAAGTATGATGTTTCTATTTGGAAAACCTTCCAACAAAATCTAGGGTCTGTATGTGCTCAGAATAGTGGAAGACAGAGTATATTAAATCCTAGCACAAATCCTCCCTTTAATATTGTGTGTGTCTCCCTGTACGGAGGGGAATCACAGCTGATACTCATTTACTTTTTGGCATATTCTCTTTGGAGATTTACAGGAAAGTAGCTCTGATTTGAGTCAGAAGCGCTTACTGTTTTCCCTCTGTCTGTGTCGTGCCTTCAGAAGGTGATGCGCATAGACCCACGTTCTCTAAATGGCATTTCAGTCTGTTGGTGTTCACCGCACCGGTCGGGCTCGTGCAGGCACCGGCGCCGGCGAACCAGTGCTCAGCACACACGGGAGCCGCCTTTCGGAGCCCTTCTCCATAGACCCCAGCTCAGCCTCATCCGAGTTACACTTAGAACTCTACAATATTTAAACATTCTCTGCATTGTTTACAGGATTTGGCCTGTTTTGTTTATTGCTGAGAAAACTGATGATACCGAGGGTTTTAGCACTGGATTGTAGCCTGCAGCCTGCTCCTTCGAGCGCGTAGGTAGCAAAAATGAATGGCTTTGTTCTGCGTGCGGTGCTCTGAGGTGTAATGTCTGCCCGGGCTGTGTGTTCGCAGAGAGCCGGCTCGGGAAAGAGGAGTCCTCTGTTAAGCTGCAGCCGTCCATAGCTTGGTCCGAGGCAAGCCAAGGGCACCCCTGCTTGGGTTGTCTTGCAAGCAAATTGGTTGGAAAAAGTTTTTAGCGGGGATTCTTGAAGCCACGTCTCTCTCTGCGAAATCTTACCTGTCGATCCCCGGTTCGGCTGTCCAGTTAAATGGAAGAAGCCTCCGTTCCCGGGGCTGGGGCGGCTCCGAGGTGTTCATGGTGCCGGGTGTAGGAACCGGGACGCCCAGAGCAGTCGGCACACGCTCCCGCCTCTGAAGCAGCAGCCTGGTGATGTCTTAGTCCTCCTCCCTCCCAGACTCCTGCCTTCCTCTGAGAGGAAGAGGTGTTAGTGTCTGCAGCCCGTTTCTGTCCTACAGCCCAGACAAATAACAGACTTGTAAGCTTTCTCTCTCTCGCTCTTAACATATATTTTGAGAACCTCCCGCCCCTTTTTATCATTTTTCTTCCATGCACTGGGGTGCTTTTTCAGTCTTTCAGTTCTACAACTTTCTTATGGTATGAAGTATATAAAAATCAGGGCAAAAGTCAGTGAGATTTGGCGGATGCACCTTTCAGAGAGCGCCCGTCCCCGTGTCCCGGCCAGGCAGCGCTCCTCGGGCGAGCTGTTTTCAGCAGGTTCTGCGTGGCTGTGGCAAAGCTGTGCTGCGGCAGCGCCGTCCTTCCCTGCGCCGGTCCTCAGCAGCCGGGGTAGCCAGTACGGAGTTCTACTTACCAGCAGAAACCCAAGATGTGGATTAAAGCACAGAGGGGCGACACAGACTACCCCAAAGGAGGGTCCCCACGGATTAAAAGCAGCACACGCTGCCGTGCTTTGCACCGCACTGCCGTACCGCCTGGGACACGGATGGCCTTTTGAAACCAGTTACTCTTAATAAAGGCTCCAAACTGATGTTTCTGGAGAAAGCAAGGCCAACATCCAGTCGGAAAGAAAAGGTGCACTACAGAAGGCACCGTGGCTTCCCCTGGGGGGGTGTGCAGCTCTCCAACACGCTCAGCGTGGGCATCGGAACACAAGACTTTGAAGTGCCACGGCAGTAGATACAACTGCTGAAGCGCTTCATGGCGCTAGTGAAACAAACAAAACCAAAAAAAAGAAAAAACCCAAATGCTTTCTATAACATAACCCTGTGGAAGCATACGAGTTGACCCCATCTGAAGTTGGGTGTGTTCCTTAGACACTTCTCCGGGCTGAGCGAGCAGGTGTGTAACTGGCTCAGCCCTGCGGTGGGTGGCAGACGGCTGTCGGATGGGGATGTTGGTGTTACCGAGTTCATGGGGTTTAGTACCTCACCAGGTTCGCTTCCCTGTGCTGTGGCGGTGGGAGCGGTACTGTGGGCGAGACTGTTAGGGGACAGGGCTGCTCCCCTCGGTGGCAGTTATCGATGGAGAAGAACACAGGAGCCCTTTCTCCAGGCAGGGAGGGAGCACGGCATCGCCGCCAGTGGATCCGGCAGTGCAGAGCTGCCACAGGTGGGTCTGCCCTCCGCTCTCACCCAACGCCGAGAAAAGCCTGTGTGCGTCCTGCTCTGCTGGGACGCCGTATATCAACACGCCCGTGTGAAAACACGGCCCCTGTCGTATTGCCAAGATCAGTATATCCTCGGGTAAAGTGCTGTGTGACAGTCTCAGAAATTAAAGTTGCCTCTGGGTTCCTTCAATTCATGCATCTAAATTGTACCAACTTTTCTTCAGAAGGAGGCAAAGAAAATACATATTTGGGCAATACAAATTAACCTCTTTCGGGGGCCAGAACGGTCCCTTCTTGTCCATGTCTTGGCTCCGCAGCCCGTCCCCGCCGTGCTTTGCTGAACGCAGTGCTCCCTTCCAGCGGGGGAAAGTCACGGCTGCGATTTTCATGAAGATCTGGTGGAAGTGTCACTCAGACTCCTAATACATTTTCATCAGCCAAGGAAGAGCTGAGAAATGTTTTCAGTCCCTTTCTGCAGAACCCTTCGTATTGCTAATGAATAATGGACACTTTTTATTATGACTTAAACCCGATGTTGCTTTCTATGAGCAGTAAGAGAGAGCATCAATATCACTGCAGTCCAGTATTTTACTATATAATGTACTAAGCTGCTCTGCAGAGTGCTTATTTGTTTGATTAATTTTTGTTTTCTACAGAGGTTTGCTGAGAGCGAGACTTTAATCACAGTGTAGTCATTTAAGAATAAGTTATAGAATTATAGCTGAATAATATTCATTCAACGAGGACTCGAAAGACTAAATCCATCATTTAGATCCGGTGCTCCTCAATGCTTTTATCACTAAAATTTGCTAAATATTAATCTGTTTTTTTTTCTCCCCACATTGCAGGTGCTCGAAAGATTATTTCAGAAGGGGTTTAACGTGGCAGCTTCGTGCGGCGGTGGGGTGGATTCCTCTCAGTTCAGCGAATACGTGCTGTGTCGCGAAGACAGACGACCACAGCCCACCCCAACGATCAGAATAAAACAGGAGCCCCTGGACTAGACCCTGCCCGTACTCCTTTGTAACCGTAGAAGTGTTTAATAGTCCCTTATGTGAAACACTAAGGATTTGCAAAACAGTATTAGCAAACAGATTTTGACTTTATGTTGCCAACTAGTGGTATTCTGAAACTACCTGTCACATCGCCAGCCATGAAATGCATTCGAAAAACCAGTTGTCCGTTTTTCACGCTGAAATTCCTGAGCGTGCTCCGGGCGCCGGCCCCGCTGGGAACGTACCTGGGGCCGACCAGCCGTGGTGGTGAAAAAGGCGAACCTCCGAAGCCCCTGACCCCGGACGGGCCTTCTGCAGCCAGACCGATGACAGCAATGTGAGCAGCTCAGCAGAAGGGGCTCTGGCGGCGTTTCCAGCGCCACCCCGATGCTGTGACGCGTGGAAGTGGGCGCCTCCGAGAGGAAGATGGTACACTAAAAACTGCACTGAGTATCTTCCCTGACTGCCGCACCTCCTGCATATCAGACGTGCTTTACACCGCTGTACACGACGTTACACTCCCGTGATTGTACTCGCTCACGCTAGCAAATGGCTTATTTTTATACAACATTTCCAACTGAAATATCTCTCTGCGGACAGAATCCAGAATCAGAAAAGGACCGATTTATAGTCACCTGGTGCTCAGTACTAAAAAACCCCCCACAAACTGAACAAAAAAGTGACAAAAAAAATTGACAAGGCCGAGTATGGCAATCTTTGCAAAAGTAGGGATCTGGAAGCACAAAATAAATGGCCGTCCACCATCACACGAGGGTGACATACTGACGGTGGAGCTGTAGTTCTCTTAAAGCCAGTCTTGTTTTGATGCGGAAACTGTTCAGTTTTGCATCACGAAGCACGCGTGGTGCTGCCGAGGGAAGCTCTGCCGCCCCTTGTTGCTCATGTCCTAACCGTGTTCTAAGCCCGCGTTTAGGAGGAAGCGTTAAGAATTTGGGGCAAGCCTACTCTTTATGGGTCTGGAATTTTTGCGAAAAGATGTTAAAGCCCTCTAGTGCCATTGTGCGGTGAAAGCAGGCCACCTTTTGTTTAGATCGTTTTTCCTCTATTATTTTAAACTATTATTAAAATGCCGATTCTGTAGCTGCCCTCTATCTGTGTAATGTTCTCTTTACCGAAGCCCGCTGTCTGCAGGAGGCTGCTGCTCCTCCCGGGAATCAGCAGCGACTGTGGCTTGTGCGGCTTCTAACTCAGGAGACAGCACCGTGTTCGCAGGTGCGAGGTTATAAATAGCATTCTGCTAAATCCTGTTTATTGCTGTTCAGCATGATTGGGTCCTCAATAACGAATTCATGTGTTAATCGCAATTTAGTTTCTCCCACGTTAATTTATAGAATACTGTTGTAGATGTTGAATTTTAATTAAACTCTTCTTAGACGCATAAATACGGCCACACAGAACAAGGAGTTCTTTAAGGCTAAATGACTGCAATTGGGCAAAATAAAAAAAATCAAGTTTGAGAGTAGTCTTCTCAAAAGCGACGAGCTGTACTGACTGCCCAAGGCCCAGCCTCGGCAGGGGTCTCGTTTTCGGAGAGGGCTGGATACCTGTCTGTGGAAAATCAGACCTCTGCCGGTTTTCTCACCTTGGTTACTTGGAAATCTCTTCTGGGAATCTTAGCGGATACCTATTGGCCTGCTGACTCAGCACAGCAGTCAAGCGAATCTGTCTACTTCGAAAAGAGTTGTAAAGTTATTTTATTTTGTGGTTTTATACTTGTACGACATTCTAAAGTTGCTAGGCAGTGCCATATTTGAATATATGGCACAACATTCACCTTTGTATGTAAGATATCTGTAGAATTGTATATTATACATTTAATATTGTAAAGAACTTAACGTATAATTGTCATGTATTTGTGTATGCACATTTCTTATACAGTACTTCATGCCATAAACATTTCTGTAAAGTAAATGATCAAAAATAAGCAAGTAGGGTGGAACACTCACTGTATCTCCCATGTTGTTTGAAAGAGGTGAGAACTTTTGATTGCGTCTCCTCCGGCCTTTTGCTCCGTTCAGCATGATGTAGCCATGTCTTGCAAAAAGGAAAAAAAAAAAAGTCTTTTTATTTATTACTTTCATACATGGAGTTCACTTTAAGTTCAAAGTATCCTTCGATAAGCCGTTCAGCTTCATGTTTTTATCCCATACCGCTCTTGTCCTGCCCTCCTGAGCAGGGACCGTGGCTGTGGGCGCCGGCTCCGCGCTCCGGGGGCACAGGCGAACGCCCGCGAAGGCGCAGCCCCTCCGGCTCCAGGCGAGATGGGGCTTCGCCTGTTCGTAGGGCGCCACGGGAAGCATTTGTGGCCGGTCGGTTTGGTTTTCTTCAGTTTGGCGTTTACCCCATTTTTTTATAGCCCAATAAAGCGGCTGCAGCACTTGGGGCAGCGTAAAGGGGTGGAGGCTGCGCCGGCCGAGTTAAACGTGAACTGGAGATGGAAAGTTTGCGCCGTGACATCACAACGTTGACGGCGACATAGCACTAAGGCAAGGAAGACATGTGGAAACAATCACTTCGTTAGGAGAAATATGCCTTTAAAAAAAAAAAAAGTTAGGACATGTTCTTTTAGTTAGTAACTTCAGGTCACTTATTTAAAGTTTATTACAGTTTCATTTGTATCTTTTTTACTTATTTCCCTATATTTTTAGGCAGCAATACCAGCAAAAACTGATTTGAATTTTTACTTCTGGCCTTAAACCATAGCAACATAACTTAATTAAGGACATTGCTCAGCGTCGCTAGAACAGGTTTTAAAATCTCACAGAAGCTCCGGGAAAGCGGTGGTGCGCAGCCCGCACGTGTTTGTTACGAAGAGCAAACCGTAACCGCAGCCCGGTTTTTCGCCTAATTCGATTGAACGAAGTAGTTCTGATTCTCTGCCGCCGAGCACTGAAACGGTGGCGTGAGGAACGGTGGCTCGGCGAGCGGTTTCGGTACAGCCCCGTGACGCGGCGGCGCGGCCTCGGACCGGACGGTGAGCGAAAGGGGATGTTCTGCGGCGTTGCTGCACCGAGCGCTTCCGAGACGGCAACTGCTGAGCGCCTCCGTTCACCGTGTTAATGGCATCGAGGTTTGTTGACAATTTTATTAGATGTTTGACAAAGGATAAGAATCAGCACAACACAACATTGAAGTATTTGGTTTTAATAATTCTTTGTGGGTATTCTGTTAATATTTTAATGCAAAATGTTTCTGAACAGTGCTTAAGAACTACAAGACAATGTGAAATTCATGTTTGATAAATTAATACTGTATGTCACTCGATGTGTTACTTTAGTAAATTGTTTTATTTCTTTACAAAATAAGTACAAATAAGGGAGTATGTTTTCACACAAATTGGGGGTATTTACGAGTATGTACAGAAATCATCAAAATAACGTAATTCTAATAAACACAAGGCCTTTATAAACAATATGTACAAATTATCGATACATTTAAAACATAATTTTACACTTCCTGGCCTTAAATACCTTATGAATAATCTTTTGGCTAAATAGCAGCGGTATAAATTTTCTTCTGCTTTTCATAAACCTTAAAAAATAATTAAAACTTTTGTTTTTAAAACTATTGGAGAAATAGTTCTATTTGTGCTTTCGCTATGGTTTCCCATCAAAAAAAAAAAATATTGCCTCAAAAAAGTGGCAAGCATAACATAGTAAAAATTGAAAAGATAAATAAGCAAAGGTCTCCCTTCCATGGTTGCTGATAATACTGTTAGGTTTGAAGTACGACAGCTCGTGCCCACCTGCCCGCGGATTCCTCCCCCGTACCCAGTTAAAAGACTCACACTGACTTCGCTCGGCTTCCGTGTGGGCCCCCGAAATCCCAGTTCAGCAAAGCATTTTTAAAGCATTCCTCCCCGCTTTAAGCACTTAAAACTACGCATCGTGCTTAAAGTCCCGCGCTTGTTCATGAGCCTCTCCGGACTGGAGTCCTCGGGTCCAATCGTCCAAGGCGAAGGCATCGCCGGTCCCTGCGGCGCCGTCCCGGCCGCCCGCGCGCACCCCGCTCTCCTCGAGCGCCGGGAGTGGAACCGCCCCAACAACTGCCTTTACAGCCACGGCTTTGAAAATCCATATAGAATACTCTCAGATCTTCACTGAACAATACTCTCTTTTGAAACCACCGTTAAACCATACTCTTTGCAATAAATAAATTAAGATATTTTCTAGAAAATAAAACCCAACTCTGATTCGTGTTCCTAACCAGTTGCTACAAATGTGCAAAAGGTTGAAGAGCGTTAGAAGACAGCTGGAAGCTGGTCAGGGGAACTCAGCTGGGACCCAAACGCACAGATTTCATACACTTAGGATTTGGATCCGCAAATGGCTCCGGAAAAGAGCTGTGCAGTAAAAGCAAAAAATCCTAAATATATAAAATTTGTGAGAGTGTGCAGTGGCTATTCTCTTACCTGTGCAAAAAATTGCAATTCTAACTTATCTAAAATAGCAACAGGGATGGCCGCGGTTAGTCAGTAGAACAGTGCTAGGGAAACTAAACAGAGACCAATCCCGCACCGGAGCTGAGCGCGGAGGTGAACGCCGCGGTGTGTCCCCATCCTGCGAACGCGGCCCGGCCCTCCGCCCGTCAGATGGTTTGGGTGACCGTTGCAGCCGTCTCCATTTGCGAACATCAGCGCCATCCACTCCGGCCGTATCCAGAACGGCCAAATGGAGCGAGACTTTGATGGGGGTTACATCTGTGGATTTAACATTTCAAAACCTTTTGCACATTTTTTTGTGTGCTTTTTTGTAATTTTTTTTTTTTTTTTTTTTTACATAAAGGGAATTTATTGCATGTGTCTGACAATTTTACAAAACAAAATTACTGGAACATTGACTTCTGAAAAAAATAGAAGGCACATTAAAATGACAGCTTTTCAATGCAAGTTGAGCTTCTGTATGGAGAAATCAGTACAATTCTTGGCTTTATTTAAGCAGAGCTCGATAGAGCAGGAGAGAACGGCTCGTTTCTCGTTCCTGTTCCATGTAGAAGATGAAGTCCCTGAGGTTTACGCGAGTTATTTTCTGTCGTGCATACTGCCTGGAGGAAGGGGTCCCCAGGCCAGGCTGACCGCCGCCGGACACTCCCAGGCCCTACAGAGAAAACACAGCAAAGTCACAAGTCCTGCAACAGTGAAGTTTCCTCATGCTCAGGTTTGCAGCCACGAACTGCGGATTGCCGTAAACATCCTAAATGGACTATTATGAGCCTCATTCTGGAAGTATTACATGAGGGTTTTTTCTTTTTTTCTATTCTTCTGAGTCTCACCAAGCTAACCCGAGGAAAGAAACTCAAGTGAAAACACACGTGCG